GTCTACTTAAGCTTGTTTCTAATTAGTCTATCCAAAAGAATACGGTCTGGAACTAATGGTGATGTAGAGTTAGTCCTAGTACTTGGAATGCTGAAGCAAGACCATTTCTGCAAGGTTGAGGCTAGCCCGCCTCATAGTAAATCCAGGCCAGCATGGCCTACAGTGTAAAACCCTGTCTCAAAAGGACAAAATAAATAAAGCCCCAGAAATATAAATTTTGTTGTTTGATGTGCTATAGGACTTTCACACTCAAAATCCAGGCATGGACCAACAGCATTGATGTCACCTAGAAAACTATTAGAAGTCAGTATTTTAGGTTCTACTGAAAAGTTATCAAACCAGAATCCACATTTTAACAGATTTCTTAGTAATTTTTAAAAATTATTTATTTAAGAACCACATACTTGGAAGAAGCATTTCATTACAACAGCATTGACATATTCAATAACAATTTCCTGAGCTAAGATGCATCGCTTTCAAAATTGGCTGTAAAATTTTAGGTTTACAGTTGAATTATTACAGTTATACAAAGTAATTTTTTTTAAAAAATTTGTTTTTATTTTATGTGTATGTGTATGAGTGATAAGCTTGCATGTGTATAAATGCACCCATGTTGTGCAATGCCCTCTGAGGTCAGAAAAAAATGTCGGATCCCCTGGAACTGGAGCCACAGATGGTTATTAGCTGCCATTTGGGTGCTGGGGATTGAACCCGGGCACTCTGCAAGAGGAGCCAGTGCTCTTAATCACTGAGTCATCTCTCTAGCCCAAGATTTCTTAGTAATTTGCATTCATAAATTTTGAGAAGTATGGACCAAAGAAGAGCCATTTTGGTGCAGGCCTCTTAGAAGGCTTTTTACTAGGGAACTTTGAGTATGTTGCAGCCATGTAAGAACCAAGTTATAAATTGTTTGGGGTATAGTGAGGTGACTGACTTTATGATTGGCAGTTTGAAACAAATTATGAGAATTTACAGAATGGGAATGTGAAAATGCTATCAATTCATTTCTTTTATACTGTAGAACCAGTTGTTAAGCTATTACCAGTATACCACTACATGGTTCTGAATCTCAAAATTCAATCTGTATTAAACTAGTTTCCTAGGATGATTGAGCAGCTCAGCTCCTGTATATGTAGGACAAGATAATATAAATTCCAATTTGCCACTCACAGAATTTTCAACTTTAACGTTGAAATGCTATTATTCTAGATAGTAAATTTTTATGATAAGTAATCTGGTTCTGAAATGAGTGCAAGGTGGGAACATACAGAAGCTAAGACTTTAAAATATATGTAGCTAGACAAACATTGGAAATTATCTACATTAGCAATGGAGATTTCTGATGCTGAAATTCAAACATAGTACAGTAGTTTCTGTGTAAAGTTGGAGAAAATAAAAGTGGGTAGATCCTGTTAGACGCATAATATATGGAGAACTTTTTTTTTTTTTTTTTTGGTCTTTTTGAGACAGGGTCTCCCCATAGCCCCAGCTGTCCTGGAACTCGCTATGTAGACCAGGATAGCCTTGAACTAATAGAGATTCACCTGCCTCTGCCTCTGCCTCCAGAGTGCTGGGATTAAAGGCATGCACCACCATGCTAGGCATGGATGGAGAACTTTTATAGCCTCTATTTTTTTATACAAAACAATGATTCCTCTCCAGGTTAATGTTAGCATGTGTGCAAAATATTTCATACTATTACTTAGAGCCTTTTTCTATGTGTGACCCATAGGCCAGTACATCACTGTCACTGGAAAGCCTATTGCAAAAGCAAAATTTTGAGATTCCTGCTCCAGACCTACTGGATTAGAAGCTTTTGGGGTGGAACCCACCAATCGGAATTCAACAAGCCTTCTTAGTAATTTCTTATATGTCCTTATTTTCATATGATGAGAGAATCTGATTTCAAATTTAACTCAGAACGGGAAGTGACTTCTAAAAGCATCAAATTTTCAGATCAACTGGAAAATGCTTGACGTTCAAGAACATGGATCAAAACAACTATGAGGCAAAGCACATATTTAAAAACTTTTCCCAGGGAAGTTTGCCAAGCAGGGAGGCTGCTGGCGTTTTGCCAAGACTCCTGGCGCATCTAAACCTTCCTAGAAATCAACTGGAAAATGATGAATTTTAAAATGAATTCTGAGGAAATGCATAAACATAGGCTGGTGACTTTTTGCAAATATTAATAATAGTCTCAAACACTAATGAAAGTATTTAAATTATTATCAGCCCATATCACAAATGAGGAAGTGAGTCTCAGAAGGGCATAGTAACCTGCCCTGTATCACACACATGCCAGTGGTAATAATGGGATTCAAACTCAGCAAGTTTGGCTCCAAATTAGCCCCTCCCCTTAACCAAAATGCTTTACTGCCTCTCTTTAGTAAGGAACACCTCATATGTGTAACCTTGGTGTATGTTAGGTTTTTCTCACTGTTACCAAAATAACTGACAGGAATGCCTTGAGCAAGAAGGATTTATTTTGGCTCATAGTGTTACAGGATTCTATCACAGCTAGGGAAGACATGACAGAGTAGCTGACATCATGACCAAGAAGAAGCAGAAAGAAGAGCAACCCAGTACTTGGTTGCCTTTCTCCTATTCTCCTTTTTATTCCATCCAAGCTTCTAGCCCACAGGGTAGTGCTACCCATGTTCAGGATGGGTCTGCCCCCATTAATTAATCCTCTCTAGAAAATACCCTCCTGGACTCAAAGGTGTGCCTCACTCGCCTACGTGATTCTAAATCCAGTCAAGATGACAATGAAGTCATACTTGGAGTGCCCATTTCAGAGTGTGGGTTTTAGTTAAGACATTTCATAGTTTTTATAGTCTCAAGCTAAAAAAAGCCCCCCTCTCTATATGTATATCTTTATGTGTATAATCTTCACATATACTATATAGAGAGATTATATATAGTTCATATACATATACATATATATATATATATCTGGACTCTGGCCCCCACTTGATTAATACCATCAAATTTTAGTGACCAAAGAAGGCAATCAGGCACACTGTACCTATATTGGACATTGTTTAATAATGGTATCACTGTAAACATAACCATACAATACGAAATGGTTATGTTCTCCTGTTAGATGTTTTTAGATGAGGGCCAACTGATTCTCTATGGCAACAGGAAGGGATGAGTTGAATCTAAGAACCAGCACTAAATGAACTTGTATATATCCTTAGATTGAATTAGTTTTTAAGAATTGTGAGTTGATTGCCAGTTTTTTCCATATCTATGCATAGTTAAGTACAGTGCTTGATGGATGGCAGTTGCTCACATAAGTGCAGAAAAAAGAGTAGATGGAAAAGAGGGCAAGAAGGAAGAAAGTAATAAAGGTAGATTCAAGTTCTTTGATTTTTTTTTTTTATAACAGTCACGACTGGTTGTGAAATTTACAAAGTAACTGGTTAGGCAATAACAAAAAAAAAAGCAATAAATTAGATGGGTACTTCATATAAATGAAATAAAACTTCCAGGAAATTTGGACTTTGATCCAGTCCATCTTATGTGGGCAGCTTCATGGAAGCAAGTTAACTTTTGAAGGCTTGCCATTCTAATCAGGTCACTAACTCATGTAATGCATATATTCATTTAGTCAACAAACATTTACTGCAGACCCCTAAGTGCTTGGTGCTGTATGTAGTATGTGCTAGATTACAAAAATGAATGACATGTCTCTGTCCACAAAGAGCTCAGAGTGATGGGAAAGACAGATACATTGTGATGTTTGCACAATTCTGAATTCACACACACAAAAAATCAAATTATATAATTTAGGTTGATAAATTGTATGATTTATAAGCTATGTCTCAAAATTATTTAAAATGGGTTGGAGAGATGGCTCAGTGGTTAAGAGCACTGGCTACTTTTACAGAAGACCTGGTTTCGAATCCCAGCACCCACATGATGGCTAACAACTATCTGTAACTCCAGTTCCAGGGGATCCAACACCCTCTTCTGACCTCCATGGGTGCTGCATGACAAGGGTGCACTTAAAAGTAGGCATAGCGCTCATACACATAACATAAAATATTAAAAATAATTTTAAACAAATATACATGCATACATAAACTCCTGGGTATTATACAAAACCAAGAAGTGGCCATAACTCAGCTCTGGAAATGAGGAGGGAGGCTGCCATCAATAAGTAAAGCCTGACCTGAAATCTTAAAGAACAAAACAAAACTCACCTGGTGATACAAGACATTACAGAATGATCCGTCATGGGGATGAGACTCTCTCTCTCTCTCTCTCTCTCTCTCTCTCTCTCTCTCTCTCTCTCTCTCGTGTGTGTGTGTGTGTGTGTGTGTGTGTGTGTGTGTGTGTGTTTGGGAGGGATGTTGGCTGAGGTAGGTAGAGGCCAATGGCCACACACTGGAGGGTTTTATTTAAATGGGGGAAGTAATATATAATTCGTGATTGGATTTGTTTTAGAGAAACCACACGGGCGGCGTGACGTAATGGAAGACATTCCATTTTTGTTGTTTGTTGTTGTTGTTAGAATAACCTGCATATGGGTCTTAGATCTTTTTGAAAAACTAGACGTGTTTCATAAATGTAAAGCATTGTATTAGTCATTCTTTTGCTCCTAACGACACAGCTTGCCAGCAGAGGGGAACGGTAAAGTCAATTAACGGAGGTCAACATAGTTACTGTTGATCTTGCTTTGTTGGTAGGTTACTGAGCGGGACTGCGCCGCCTGCCTGGCGGGGGAGGGGTGTGTGTGTGTGTGTGCCGAAGTCTGGCGGATTTTCTCTTTGCAGTTAAGGGGCTCGAACCCAGGGCTTCGCGCATGACCGCTAGGCACTCTATGCCTGGCGGGGGAGGGGTGTGTGTGTGTGTGTGTGCCGAAGTCTGGCGGATTTTCTCTTTGCAGTTAAGGGGCTCGAACCCAGGGCTTCGCGCATGACCGCTAGGCACTCTACCGCCAAGCAACAGGAATTAAAAAAAAAGTCTTGGAAGGCTGGAGATGTGGCGGAGGAAACCGACGGGACTCCAGCTTTCCAAGATTTTAGCTGGGTACGAGGTTCCCGACAACTTATTTAAATGCTCATTCTGAGTTCATTTGCAGGATCAAAAATAAAAATAAGGACTAAAGTAACTGCAGCAACTTCAACAACCATGTTCCTGATCGTAGTTAAGCCGCGGTACCGGAACCACGGAACGCGGTCCCAACCCGGGAACCGACGGAGCAGCGCCATAGGGGCACTTAAGACTGCTGGGTCTCCGCCCAGTTTTTCTTGCTCCACTAACACCTTCCGCTTCGCCAGCTCCAGAGCGGAACCTTTTTTGCATCTCTACGTAGTTGAAACGGGGGACCTATTTCATCAACACCATCCTGGAAGGTCAACATGGCGGCGGCCGCGAGATACCTCAGTAGAGGTAAGACAGCCGGTGTCATTGGGCGGAAAGTCGATCTGGAACTGAGTCTCACGTTGCAACAGAGCACAGGCCAGAGTCTCCTCGGCTCGGGTCGGCTCGAAGCACTCGATATGCCTCAGTGCGCGTTCTGGGCTCTGGGTCCTCTGGAGGGTCATTACCACTTAAAAGCGACCATGTCCCAGCCCTCTTTGCTGCCTGGAGCAGGTCACATTGTGGGAGGGAATGCACAGTGACATTCCTTTAGGCCACGGGTTGGCCACGCGAGGCAGTTCTGTCTCGGGTCCAGGCTGTGTGGAGTAGCAGGTGGATGGAGTTTGATAAGTGAGTCCTGGTAGGGAAGGTGTCTAATGAAGTGTCTTAGGTCTGTAAACTTGCACCGTTCGAAGTGCTTATTGCTGCTTTCTGAATACAGGTAATTCCAGTACTTAAATTTCCAGACGTTATCTAATTTGGATCACGCTTATCGTCTGGAGGCGAGTTCTGTAGTATTTCTTTTCCAGTAAGGAGTCAAGTTCAGCTTGTTAGAACAGCCCATTTTGTTACAATGCTTTTTTTTTGTTTTTTTTTAAAGCACAGTGTTTATAAAGTATTATCTAAGTTATGTTTTTAAGTGGAGGCAACTGCCTCACCCCATTTTATGGAGGAAGAAACCAATCCCGTTGGGTATGTAGCCAAATTCATCTAGTAAGTGGCAGGGGAAGAACAGAAGCTTACACTCTAGAGATTTGTGGTGTTGGGTATGGAGCCTAGGACCTCAAGCATGCCAGGAAAGTGACCCACACACCTTTAGTGCTCTTTGATCCCCCTAGGAAATACTGTACAATTTTCTCTTTGTAGTTCTCACAGGAAAATTCAGTGTCAAGAGCTGCATCCTTTATTTAGGATAGTTGTTCAAAAGTTTGGACTGTGACAAGATATCACAAAAAGACCCTGATGACTACTAACTGAGCGAACCGCAGTATATATTATTACTGAGAAGGAGTTGAAGGCATTACCTTCATGCATGACAAATCACATTACATTAGACAAAACTGAAGAATCCCAGAAGAGAACTGAGGCTCTTGTTCCACCTGCAGTTTCTTCTCATATTAGTCGGTTGGTTCTTCTCTGTTTCCTTTAGTGTCCCAGGAGCCAGGATTCCATCTTTCACTCCCATCTCTTCTGTATCCAGCTTCATTCTTTGAAGGAGTGCAGTCACTCCTTGAGTGGTCTCATCCCCCTCTTGTAGTTTTATTGCCAATATCTTAATGGCTATTAAATTTACACCTGCTTTGGGGATCTTTTTCCTGAAGTTCAGAGTCTTGTACTCATTTGAATATTCTAGCCTTAGACCTGTATAACTTATGGACGCGTTATAAATAAAATACATTTTATATAAATCTTATATAAAATAAAATCAAATTTATAATCATAGCCTGCACTTTTCTTCATCTCTTTTGATAACAACTACATCTTTTCAGTTGTCTAGGCCACACCCCAGAATATTCTTGACTCCTCTCTTCCTCAGACTTTACATTAAGTCATTGACAAATCCTGTTTTACTCTCAAATTGATCCAGACTCTATTTGTTTTTATTATTTGGGGGTGGGTATGAGTTTTTGAGACAGTGTCTTGTGGTACCTGCTGGCCTGACCCAGCCCTCACCAGGTAGCCCAGTTGGCCTTGAACTTGAGGCTGTCCTCTTGCCTCAGCCTCCTGCTGTTAACCTAGACTCTTAACTTCTCACAGTAACACCAACTATCTTGTTCTAAGCTACTATCACTTCTCATGTTTGTTCCTCTGCAGTCTTCTCTAAATAAGGAGCAAATTGGTGTTAAGAATTTAAGCTGGGTATGGTACAAGTCTTTAATCCCAGCATTGGGAGGCAAAGTCAGGATGATCACTGCAAGTTTGAGGCCAACCTGGTTTACATAATGAGTTCTAGGCCAGCCAATACTACATACTAAGACCCTGTCTCCAGTCTCTAAATAAACATTTAAAAAAAAACTTAATCAGATTACTCCAATTCTCAGAACTCTGAGAAGCCTCCCCAAAGTCCTTATAGTGGCCTATAACTGTAATGTCTATTTTGTTTAGTCATTATTAAGCACTTTAAATGTGGCTAATACAATTTTTAAACTTTTATTTTTTAAAGTATTTATTTTTATTTTATGAGTATATTGTCTACATGTATGTAAGTGCACTCATGTTGTGCAGTGCCCGTGGAGGTCAGAAGAGGGCCTCAGATTCCCCCTGAAATTGGACTTATAGACAGTTGTTGGCCACCATATGGGTGCTGGGAAATTGAACAAGTCCTCTGCAAGAGCAGCTTGTACTCTTAACCATTGAGTCATCTTTCTAGCCCCAGCTAATATGAATTTAAAGTGTCAAATGTATACTATATGCTTTTTTTGGTGTGTGTATGTATATGTGGTGTATGTGTGTTCATGTGTGTTTGTGCACATGTGTGTGAATGTGGAGGCCAGAGGTTGATGTTGGGTGTCTTCTGATAATTGCTCTCTTGTTTATTTCCTGAGGCAGTGTGGATTTCAGCTTTCCCTGGGGGTGCTAGGATTAGGGGGAGGAGGGAGTTGTTACACTGTGCCCACCCAGCTTTTATGTGGGTGCTAGGAATCTGAACTTTGGTCCTCATGCTTTCTTGACAAGAGCTTTATTCATTAGTTCTCTCCCCAGCCCCATGTGTTTGATGAAATCTATCTTTTCTTAAAATTGCAAATTACTTTCCTCCTGTCTCAGTCTCTTTTATCCTGCAATCCTTACCTCCTTCCTCCCAGATTTATTGGTATTGTCGTCTCCTCCCAGTGTTTTGCTCACTGACATATCCTAAATAATTAAAGCACAGCTAGCACACCTTTCAATGGTGCATTCATTGTTGAGTGAATGAATGACAGACCATAAAAAGAAAGATCCAGTGAGAGTAGCTGGACCATTCCTGGTTGCTCTTTTGTTCTTTATACCTTTTCCCTTATAGTTCACATAGTAAGATGTGTTTTCTTCTAAAAATGTACTTTCTTTGCCTGCTGTACCTCTTTGTGCCTTGCTTTCAAGCAGGTGTATCATAGAACACCTCACCTCAAGTACCTGACAAACTGGGAAGAGCCCAAATAAATAGAAATATAAAGATATGACCAAAGATCTGTATAAATTTACAAGCACTCATCTTTAATATTCTGAAACTCAATCCTAATACAAGTTATCCATCAGAATAACCCTGTAGTTATCAGAGTCTGGATTTTCACAGAGATAAGTTTAAATTCAGTCTTTTTTTCTTGTTATGTGTATGTGTGCATGTCTGTGTGTGGGTACATGCCCATGAGCACAGATGCCAGCAGAGACCAGAGGGGTCAGGTTCCCCTGGAGCTGGAATTACAGATGGTTATGAGCTGCTTAATATAGGTGCTGGGAACCAAACACAGGTCCTTGGCAAAAACAGTATGTGCTCTTAACTACTGGCCATCTCTCCAGCCCTTCAGTTGCATTAAAAAACATTTTTCCCCCCTCTTTTTTTTTTTTTTTTGTTTGTTTTTTTGTTTTTTTTGTCTTTTTGAAGCAGGGTCTCCCTGTAGCCCCAGCTGTCCTGGAACTCACTATGTAGACCAGGCTGGCCTTGAACTCACAGAGATCCATCCGCCTGCCTCTGCCTCCCAAGTGCTGAGACTACAGGCTTGCGCCACCACGCCCGGCCCCCCTCTGGTTTTTTAGACAGGATCCTGCTATGTAATCCAGATTGTCTTGAACTCACGATCCTCCTGCTTCTACCTCTTAGCTATTAAAATTATAGGAGTGCTCCATTATGCCCAGCTTGCCCTTACATTTTGATAAGCACAAGTTGTGTGAGAATTGGAGTGTGTTCTCATTCTTAGTTGGTCTTTTGTTCTCTCTGGACAAGAACCACATTATTTCTGGTAATAGCATTTCCTTCCCTTGCTGATAGGTGCCTCTCGTGCCCTGCCTACCATTAGCTCTCACTATACCTAATCTTGGTAAAAGAGGGTAATTGATTAGAGCAGGGATCAGGAAATAGCCAGAGTCAGTAGGTTGACAACTGCAGATTTCTAAAGCAACAGAAATACATGAGCTGCCTGTGTGCCAATAAAACTTTATGAAACACACTCAATGCCCCTTTCCATGTATGGTAATGGATGATATTTAAAGTTATTTGGATTCATTTTTTGCCCTGACTTGTTAATTCAGTAGATATTATTTTATTTATTTATTTTTGGTCTTTTTGAGATAGGGTCTCCTTGTAGCTCCAGCTGACCTGGAACTCACTTTGTAGACCTGCCTCTGCCTCCCTAGTGCTGAGAGTAAAGGCATGTGCTACCACACCTGGCTTCAGTAGGTATTATTGAGTTTCAATATGTCAAACACTGAGCTAGGTGTTAGGCATACAATAGTGACTAAGCTGTACACATTTCCTACCTCTGGCGCTTACTATCTATTGAGGAGCAGACATTAATTGAGCAGATATTTCTTTAATTACAAATGCCCTTATGCTGAAAGGAATAACAAGCTGCTGTGCAGGTGTATATGAGAGACCTATTCTGAGTCTTCAGGAAAGTGTTCTAACGAAGTAATGTTTATAATTACATTCCTTGCAAGACAGATTGCTGTGAACTAGTCATAGCCAGAGAAAGTGATCAGGGAGAATGGCACAAGTAGAGAGAAGATTCTAGATGAAAATTCTAAGGTGGTAAAGAGCATGGTGTGCTCAGGTAAAATAATAAAGGAGCTGCATGTATTAAGCATGGAGAGCATGTGGAAGAGTGGTAAGAATTCACTTTGTTTACAGAGCCAGGTTAAGCCATCTACCAAGTGATTTAAACACAGGGTGTGATGCTCATTTTTAAAAGATCCTTACGAAAAGTAGAAGATGGAATAAGTTGGAGATGTTTAAGGTAATCCAGGTAGGACATGGTGTTGACCTGGGTTGCAGTGTTTTTAGGGGAAGGTAAAAGTTAGATGGATATGATCTCTGAGAGAAAGTGAAGAGTAGAGAT